TTAATTTGCAATAAATGGTGCTTCTGTGTTTTATGACCACATGTCTAGCTACTTAGGATGCTTCCAGATAAGGCTTGGTGACTTTACCTTCCAACTCTACTATTCAATTTTTTATTATATCCTGTGCTGCCTCATTTGCAAAATATTCTGGGGGCAAGATGACATTTTCTTTAGTTTGCAACCTTCCCATGTTACCTTTCCTACTACTTGTACCATCATTTTTTCCTTACTTAAAACAAAAAGGCTGCTAAGGGGAGGAAGACAGAATAGCTGCACAACACCTAATGTTATAGTGCTTAGGAACCCTCTAGCTGGAAGCAGCCGCTCTCTAAGCTCATGCCCTCTCTTTTCTGCACGGCCAGTGAAAATATGTCACTCAAATGCATGTAAACACAGTGTGATATTTCAAGCACATTTTTTAGTGAAAATAATGGGATATTCTAGATTAGCCGTGCTACTCATGCCTGACTTTCTCCACATAGGGCAGGCCTATGGAAGTTGAGGTGCAGGAGGAACCTGTGCTGGGGAAAACATACTTCCTAAGTGCTGCTGGGAACACACTTGCCAGAATGGAAGGTTGGCTGGCTCATTACCCTTCCCCCATTTTTTCTCCTCAGTTTTTTTCTCCCCATCATGCCATTGGTTCTAATGGAAGGGAAATAACTATATCAATGCCAGGACTGGTGTAGTTATTCCCAGATAATGGGGTCATGGTGAGAAACTGAGGGTGTGGGGTGTATTCGTAGCCTTTCCAGCTTGTCCCACCATGGCACCCTTTTGCTCTTACTGCCTCCAGAGCACCACCGTTGGTCCTGTGGCAGGGGAGACCTCCACAATGGGCTTTCTTTTGTGCAGGAGGTTTTCACTTAGGAAAGGGATCTCCTTTACTGGTGGAAAGTTCTCAACTTTTGTAAATCTGAGGAATATTTTCTTTCTAACAGAAGTGTAACTGACAAGTTATTTACATTGTAGAGTCTTATTAACATTAGCTGAAATGTAATGTGCTATAGCTTTCCAAGCAGCTAAGGTCAGCTCATTTTTTTCTGGCTAATGTAACAGAAAAAAGGGAACACCAAAAACAGAACAAAATCAGCAGTCCCCCATAGCAGAGAACACACTCTTCCTTAACAATGCGTGCTCCACTTAAAAAAAAAAAGTTTAATGGAGCTTTTATAAGCATTGCTGGTTCAAGTAGTTTTACTGCCTGAAGCCATACCAAAATGATGACTCTCCACCTCCACTAAAGCCAATGCTTCAGGGCTGTCCCAAGATATTTTGCTGCCAGGAGACCAGCAAATGCTGCCCAGCTACTTCCTACCCTATTTCCCATTTTGCCTCTTCCCCTACCAACTACTCGTTAGTACAGTAAGCTACAGTGACTGCATACTGCTCCTCTTCTAAATGAATTTTGCTCGCACTGCGAAACAGGCGACATGCATGCTCTTAGAGACCCTCTGAGGCAATCTTGCCCTTCAGTGCTCCACTCTAATGTCATTGTGTTCATCCAGATCGAGGCTTGTGGGGTGACTGGGTGAGGTGGCCTTAAGGAATCCCAGCAAAGTGCTGCTGGTCACTTTGCTGTTGCAGCAAATACTGTTTCTGCTGCAGTGGTGGTGTTCCTAGGCAGTGCCCACTGGCAGCTGCTCTGCAGCCAGCAGGCATTCCCAGGCTTCTTCTCTTGGGCAGCGGCCAAGCTGGGTAAACAGGCCAGCATGTCGTAGAAGATGGTGCTAGACCTGTGACAGCAGACTACCCTGCAGGTGGCTGACACCAACAGCAAATGGCAGGGGAAACAATCTTACGTTTCCTCATTTGCTGCCTGAGACAGGACATTTACTCTAGCTCAGTGATGGCAAACTTTTTAGAGACCGAGTACCCAAACTGCAACTCAGAACCCACTTATTTATCGCAAAGTGCCAACACTACAATAAAACCTGAATTTGCTGACCACCAGCACAAGGGGACAACGTTCTACTGACCAGCTTTTGGCGGACCCTGAAAAAGGCAACTGAGTGTATTTCCTACCTTTCCTACCTTCTGCTAAAATCACAGTCCAAGCAAATCCCTGGTAGCTCACTGACCGGCCATGCGAAAGCTCGGGGAGTCGCAGCTAATGAGTGACTTCATTGCCTGGTACCCTTAATCTTTCCAAATATGTGCATGGCTGCTGGGGCAATCGCCGACAGAGAGGGCTCTGCGTGCCCCTTTGGGCATGCATGCCATAGGTTCGCCATCACTGCCCTAGCTCATGGAAAGGCCACTGTGCAGAACACTTCAAGTATTTTCCACACCATTTGGATATCAGTTCCCGCTATCATCTTTTCCTGTGATGATGCCATCTGACACTGCTATTTTCATCCTGGCATCATTATTCTTGAATAGTAAGCAGGATTCACTTCTGAAAAAGTATTGAAGCCCTGTTACACAGGTGCATGTGTCACTTTTTTCATTATTTTCATTATTTTGTAAAGTCTGCCCTTCTCTACTTCCCTTGTTTTCATTTGATGCCTTGAAATGAGGCTGAGCCTGGTTCCTACTTTCCAGTTCTTGTGGCTGCTTTTCATACTTTACGAACAGCTAGTGACGTTGGCATGATTACTCCTCTCTGTGAATTCCCTCAAGTCTAATTAGTGGTGTCTTGGTGACAGTCTGAACATTTATGTTAAAGAGAATGGTTAGGGACACATTGCTGTACATTAGCTAAAAGAGAGAATGGTGGAGGGAATGGGGTAAGGCAGGTGGGAGGGGCATCAAGAGTGGCACTTTGACCATTTCTTAATGGTGAGGAGATCCATCTGCCCCTGGCTTTAAGACTGCCTTGAACATGAAATTTCAGTTCAGTGCTATGTGATTAGGGATCAACTCTGTTTAAGTGGAGTAGCATGAGGAGTGAAAGTGTTCATGTAGTCACTAGCACCTCTTAATATTAGGAATCAAGAAGAAACTATATATAGTGTTTTCTTTTATCAAGAAATTCTTTATTTTTGGATTATTTAATCCAAAAGGAACAGTAAAAACAGTCTGCTAAACTTCAAAATATCTGCATTATGTATTAAAGTGTTTAGTTGAGTAGATAGAATTTTATTTTTATTTATTTTGTTGCATTTTAAATACTTTGACCTAGTTTGCCAGTAAATAAATCGTTTTACTTTTGCACTGTAATCACTGTGCAAAATTAATAATAAGGATTAATAGGGGCAGCAAGAAATGTTTTAATAAATAATAAATAAATAAAATAGTTAGCGTATTCACCTTGATCCTAACATCCCACATTGCAGCAGTACTCACAGAGTCCCCATCTCTTCCTCCTATTGAATAGATGATTGGAAGAAGGTAGCTGTAATTCCATCACCCATAACCACAGGAAAAGGTGTGGATAGGAACCAGCAGACTGCTGTTGCACTGAAAGGTCTCTGGATTAGAGCTTCCACTATGAATGCAACTGGGAATTACTTCTGTATCTGCAGCAACCTTTTACACATGTAATGAGGGAGGCCCACATGCTGGTGTCATGCTGTTATCACTAGCAGAGAAGGAACTGCAGTTCTATTTGTTGAATCCAGAGTCTACTGATTAATGGCCTCCACACAAAAAAGTCTCCACCTGATTTGGTGGGATAGTCCTTCCTCCTGCACCACAGCTCACCTCACTCAGCAGGATCTCTTGACCCTCTGCTCTTGACCCATTTTCAGTGGGTAGAGGGGTGCCTGTGGGGAGGGAAAGGGCAGGGAAATCTACAACCTCCAGTCCAGTTGTCTGTACCTAAATCTGGGTCCAATCTACTGAATATCTTGAAACTTGCTTAGAAAAACAAGGGAAATGTACAGGTAAATAAATATGAAAGGTGGAAAATAATCAGTTTTCAGATAAATATTCAGGAACTTTGAGCCCAATAGCAGTTCCACAGGAGGATTCTTGTGAGTATTGCTGCAGTGGAGGAAACTGAGTTTCAGAAATACTCAAAAAGTTAATATATGTTTGAGTATTTTTTGAAAGTCAATTATTTTCCATCTTTACTAGTTGCAGTTTGTTTGTTCAAAACAGTAATGTTCCCCCTTTTCAATTAAATTGAAAATCAAAGCTCATAAGAAGATAAAATTCAGTAACAATGCAATCCTATGCATGTCTACATAGAAACAACACACACTGAACTCACTGGAGCTTACTTCCAGACTGTAGCCTAAAACAATAAGAAATTCTACAGCATATTCCATGCATAACAATAGCATTATTTATAATAGGAGACTAAGGATGTTTTCCCTGATTGTGGCCTAAAACTAATCCTGTAATATTAAATGATTAAGCACCTTTTCTGATATAAGGGATACGTGTGTGTGTGTGTGTGTGTGTGTGTGTGTAGGTTAGAATAATAAATTAGATAACTCTTCCTGAAGGACAGAACTTGCACTGGTAAGCTCCAACTGATACTATGTTTGTTAGCAAAGGGGAGATATATAAGGGCTAATATATGGTCTTACATAGAGCCATTCTGACTAATGGGGTGGGATACAATGCTAATCAATCAATCAATCAATCTCATTATTCAACTTGATTATTACAAACCTTTTAATCAATAAGTATTGCTAAGAATAACATTGTAGCAAACTTGTACTGTAGCTTTATTTATCTTAGCTTTAGCAAAATCTCTATTTGTTCACCATTGTGTTATAACCTAGGCTATAGAGAATGTAAATTTTATGATTTTAGAAAAGTAATTGGCTTGTATGTGGTCAGCACTTTGTGCTGTATTTTATATTGTTATTGATTAAAAACAGTAAAACTAAACTGAACCAATATGTGGATATTTACAGAACAATGAAGAAACTAGAAAAACAAATCAGAAGACATTGCTGTAGAGTCATTTAACAGCAATGGTAAGTATTACTTCTTAATAGTAAGAGGCGAACCGAATTTGACTAACCTATTTTATCCTGACACATTTTTTGTTCTTCTTTTCTTTCTGTGTGATAAGGGAAATGAAATATTACTCTCTACCTTACCGTTGAAACCATTGTTCTTCTGTGGCTGTCATATCTGGTTTTACATGTAGAGACAGGCCCTTGTGGAATATGCGTAACAGTTCATCTTTGTTCAGAAGTTCATTGCTGGTATTACCATTTTTAAGTGAACCTTTAAAATAAAGAAGGAAATGTTGACAGGTAAATTGTTCTTTTCTGTCAGTATTACAAATTGTTTGTCCTTTGGGGGGGGGGCTATGTTTGTGGATAAGGCTGGTGCTTTTCTTCACACATAAATTTTCCAAATTGGTGATGAGCACACAATATATATGGAAGGATGTGCCCATTACTCTATGAAAAATTCAGCTTTTAGTTTCTTGGAACTAGCACTTTATTATGGACAGAGACAAAGAATTAGGGTTATTTACATGATGTTATTTGACTTTAAAATGGTTTTTTCTTACAAGAAAAAAATGACTTCTCATGAATTTAACTTCTGAGGAGATGTGTATAGGAATGCACTGGTAATATCACAGAAAGTGTCTTCTTTTCTATTACAATGGGTCAAAGTAGGAATAGGTCATAAGGAATCAGACGTTATCTAATGACTTCTGCCTGTGTTGGAACTTGGAAGGATAGGAATGAAAATGTGGCATGTTAGGCTTATGATGTTGCAGTCTTCATGTACTCTCCAACAGAGATAGTAACATGGGAAAAATAGGTCATTTTGCAAGCAACATGCAATATTTTGCATCTAGAAAATTGCAGTATTTCCCCAAAGAGCATATTCACTGATATTATGGTTGCTTCAATTAATCTGTTTGCATGACTCATGAAAACCAATTGGACATTTTTGTGATAGAATTAGTGATATTACCAACTAGTGATAAGCTAGCCACTTATATGACCCAAAACTATATATTCTGTTTAGTGATAATACAATTTGTACTCCTAGCTGCTTTTACCATATATATTTCATCCTATTAGTCAATAATATAGGTGGTGGGTGTGGGGAACTGTCTGTTTGCCCTTTGACACTCCCCTACCAGCAGCAGTGCAAATCAGTTTGCCACCGGATGTTTAAGACACTTGACCTTGGTTCTAGGACACAGTACAGCAAGTAGCTAGTTAACCATGCTGCTCCTGTTGTTTTTTAACCTCCAACCTGGCTATTCTGAAGGGTGGTATGGAAAGGCATATCTTTATAAGATCAACCCCCCCAGCAAGGCAACAACCTTTCCCTTACTACCTCCCCAAATTGAGGGGGGAAGAAGCAGGACAGAGAATTCCTGTGCAAGGTGTCCAAATATTAAGGGCCAGCTCTACATAAACAAAGACCAGCTTGTCTCAGTGTGTAAATAAACAATATTACTTAGTAGGCTCAAATGATAAGATAAAAGAGCTCACCCATCTTTATTGTCCATGCACTTGAGCCAGTGTTGCAAGAAGAAATCCCCTGTCTGCCAAAGACTTAGGCTTGATGGGGGCATGCAGTATCCACTGAAGTATGGAGGCTGAAGCTTATTTTTTCCTAGCTGCTTGGGTCAATATTATCTCAGACAGAAGAGAGAGTCATAGCCTCTTAATAAAGTCATGTTATGCTCTGGAGAAAACATGGGTTCCTCTTCTAGTTCTTTAGATGAGCAAGTGTACCTCAGCAATTAAAACAGAGAAAGCATGTAGGACAGCAAATCTATACAGATTCCAGTTTCAGCCTGCAGGAAAACAGGCTTTCTTCGGAGGGATTCTTCTACCGGGACCCAAACAAGCAGTGATGTCTCTCCTGGCAGTTGTTATGATTCTGTGCTGGATGCAGGTCAGAATCTCCTTGCCTGCACCAACCTTGGTGCAGTGATTGCCTGAGTTCAGGTGATTCAATGAGAAAAGCTGTATGCTAGCCTGGCTACATACTGCATTGACTGGGTGGAGAAGACGTCTGCCTTGGCATACAGAAGAACTCTTTCTGATCAGCTGCCCTGATGACTGGAGCAGAATATTAAGTAGTAGTTTTTAGTCTTGTGCTGTCTGCTTATAAATTTAGAGAACCTTGTATGATGCCTATAGCAAATGACAGTAGGCCCAGTCTTTTGTGAGAGGATGGTCTTACTTATGGGGCAGTGTTTTAGAAAAGTGAGATAAGCCTATACTCAGAAAGGAAGGAAATAAAACTGTTACTGCATCTGAGGGCACACCAACATCTTTGCTGAGTGGGAAGTAATGGACCTTTGTTGGCATCATAGTAAAAATTTTGGCAGGAGCAGTGCAGCTATTGAGCTAATGCATATAATGCATTTTGAACAATGAACTGTGGTATAAACATACTGAGTATAATGAATAACTCCTTTGCTGTGAAATCCTGATGAGCTTCTGATTCTATCATCCAGATTATTTATACAATAAAACTGTCGTGTTTGATCCTGATGCTGCAATCCTAAACATTTTTACTGGAGAGGAACTCCCACCACATCTGAAGATGTGTGCATGCCTTTTTGAGTGTGCATGCCAAAAAGCAGTGCTTTTTTTGTCATAGAATGCTCCGGAACAGAGTTCCGGCACCTTTTTTTGACAGATTTTCCAAGTTTTAAAAGTAACTTTTGAAAATTTGATGTTTGGTCCACATGGATTTGAATCGCCCTGTCAAGCATAGCAGGTCGGCGACAAAATCATTAAAACGGTGCATGCGGGCTGCTTTTGTGTCAAGTCCGATGCATGCGTACTTCGCACTGGTTGTGATGGCGCTGCTCGCCTTGTGATTGGTCGTGTGGTTGTGCGCTGAGTGCTTACTGTGGGCGGCGACCGTTATGTTTCATTACACAACTGACGTGTGTGAGTGTGTGTACAGTGATTGACTATATGCGAAAGGTAAATAATTTCATGAGTTCTGGCACCTTTTTTCTTACAAAAAAAGCACTGCCTAAGAGTGTCCTGTTAATGTGTTATCTGTTCCAGCAGGTTCATTTGTATGAAATGCTAAGCTGGTTCTTGCTCTTCATCTCTTCCTTTCTTGAAGGTGTTGCTAGCTAAATGGTGCTTCATTGTGATCTTGCCCTGCTTTTCATTCTCTCAAGCTCTCATTTTGACTGCTCAGTTTCAGATTTGCTGCAACTTGTTCCTCTAACAAGTTTGTCTTACTTGTACAATAATACTCAATCTCAGCGCACATAGAAGAAAGAGACACTACTCAAACAACTACTTACCTCCAACACATTCAGTTTGAACTTCTTTGCGACTCTTTGCCTTCCCTCTGTTCCGGTCCCTGAAGGAGCGATAGTACCTGGAATTTCTTCGAATGGGAATGTAATGTGCTTGTGATTCCTTCTCAATCACATGCTCAGAAGCTTCAGACTTATCAGTACAGATCATGTCCAGGCATGATATTGCCTGTGAAGAACTGTCCTTCCTGACACCATTGGCTGATTTCCCACGGTGTCTTTCCACCTCTTCCTGTTCTTTTGTCTCCATAGCAACAGATCCAATTGTTTAATAACACAGAGGCAACCAGAGAGGGACTTTCATCCCCTCCATCAGAACTCTATGCTGTAGAATTAAAAATAAAGGTTAGGAAAATGATTTTTTTTTACACATCAGGAACACGTTTATTTCTTTAAATGTTTACAATGCAGAATTGCTAGTTTGCCAGTGGCATATGTGTCACCACAGACTGATATTTTTTAAGTAGAGGTGGAGAACTTTTTTAAATGGAGGGCCAGATTCAATTTTGTAGAAGCATTCAGGGCCCCATTCCAGTGCTGGGTGGGGCCAAAAACCAGAGCCAGACATTAAAAAAAAACACCAATTATTGTAGTTTCAAGCTTTTCCTGCCAGTAAGTAAGCCTTAGGAGGGACATATAACATTTTAGTATGCTGAAAACTGCATATAGGATAGAAAAGCACTCAATGATGGGGCCTGGGGAAGGAGGCATGGCCCATGGGGTTCAGATTGAAATCCCAAGAGGGTTGGATTGGGACCCCTGATCTTAAGCTTTCACATGGCTGCTCTAAAAGTTATAAAAATGCCAGAAACATTAATTGAAATTAGAATAATCTTGCATTCAAAATATTGCATTTGGGCATGATTTCTGACCATGATTTCATCATTTCCCCCATAAACTGCCTTGCAATGAGGGAGTTTATTAAAACTAAATTCCAATGTGCTAGAATATTTAATAGAAGCATGCTTCCAGATAGAGGTGTCCTAGTGCTAAATATCTGGAGGCAGCTATTTTGGCTTCTTTCTTAACAGATGTTCCATGGCAAGAAAATAATGGAAGAAGTGGGGAAACACAGGAGGAGGAGGATGTCATTTGGCAGCTGTCAAACCTCAATATTAAGGATGAGAAATGTACACATTATTCATATAGGACCATTATCACATTTTAAACACTGAAGTGAATTCTAGATTTTAGTAAAAGTTTCTAAGGATTTATTACTTTGGGGAAAACCTTATAGTGATTTGATACTGTATATAATACAAGTTTTGCTTGACAAAATAGCAAGAATCAGGGTATTTCTTTTGATCCCATTCTCTTACCAAAAATTGGATTTGGACCAATGCTTTAGTTTCTGTTCTGATCCTTCGTTTTCACATATATTCCCCAGTGCATAGTATTTGGCTCCTTGACTAGCCATGCTTGCTCCTTTGTTTAATGCCTTGTAAACATTTCAAATATCAATAAGATGCAGTTACACATTAGCATATGAACCAGAAATACCTACACTTCTTGCTTCAACCTTGCCCCTCCTTTTAAAAATGATCTTTACTGAAAGTTAAATATAACAAACTTCCAGTAAATACCTAAATATTAAGAAAAAAATAAAATATAATTTGATTCCAACACTGGTCCCTTTTAAACTTTGCTCTTCAATCTTCTGCAGCACGTTTTTTCACGTTCTACAAAGCCATAGGCAATCTAAAGTATTGCTTTTGAGAGACTCAGGGTTGATTCACACATTTCCTTGCTTAAAGATTTGTTGAAGGCACTGCAAATTGATTTTTGGGGTGGAGTGACCACCCTTGTGAATTTTCCTGTGTCAATATTGCAGCTAACCCTCTCGATTTGCAATCTGAGGGAAACTTTCTATTAACTTGATGGCAACTGCTGGAACAGTCAAAGGATGAGTCATCATGCTGTCAGTCAACCTGTGGTAACTTTCATCATGTTAAGAGTGGCTGGATGATTTGGCAGCACACAAATGTCCGAATAGTAAACAATGCTCTGTTGCATGATTGATTAGATGAATTGCATTGGCATGGATGGTGCTACATGGAGCCTAAATAGAGAGCTAAAATGAATGATGTGATTTCAGAGGAGACATTTTGCTTCCCACTTAGGAAGCAAAAACTGCTCAAATGGAGCAGATGATTCACTAACAGAGTAACACCTCACAGAACTGTGTATGTGCAGGGTGGTGATTGCTGCTAGAAGAACAACAGAATGCAGCTAAAGGGAGTAAGATTGTCAAACTAAATAAAGTTTAGTTTAAATAAAAAGACTATTAGATTCTTGAAAATTGAACTGCACAGGATGGTGAAAGACTTTTGTCTTTGAATGTGGGTTGAGACCAAACAGAAGTAACAGTGGGGAATTGCAGTCCAGAAAGTGCCACCAAACCCTCAGCAGGACAAACACTCTTGCACAGCATTTTCCTCATACTTAAGCCAGGCTTATTTCCAGTCTGAGACCACAGGTTGGTGAAAAATGGCCACTGGAAGGAACTGCAGGGTGAAAGTGGCAGGCGGAGGAAGGCCTGTTTCTTACTTGTTATCCCTACATTACTATTTGGTGATGACTCATGTTCAGAGACATGGACCTATAGTCTTCATGTATAGTTCCATTCATGAAATAAACTAGCTTTAATATAATGATAGTATGAATTCCAAATGAGGACATGGCATTGTAAAGGTGGTCCATTCCAAAATAGGTAAACGGTGATAAATCCGTTTAAACTGGAAGCTTTTGTTTGATGGATATTTTGCATAGCCCATAATCTGCCCCACTTGCATTCCAGATCATTCAGGTCTTTGCAATCTGCTTGGCTGAAGGGCAGGTGAAGATGTCAACAGACGAAACTCTACCTGGTAGTGATTAGGAGAGTTTGCTAAAAATTGCTTTCTTCCATTTCTGGTACATCATCTATAGATTTTTGGATTTTCATAATCCCTGGTCTTATATGGACAGCAGTGGCAGCACCAAGTAAATAAGTCAAGGAGGTGTGCTGCACTGGGTCCATGGTGCAGGATGGGTTGAGCAGTTTTATTCACAGTAAGTTTATCGAGAAAATAAAGACAGAAAACTTTGACTGTTGGGCAATATGGAAATATAACAAAAATTTATGTATTTATTCATTATATTCATACTCCCCTTTTTTCCTTTCAATGAACTCAAGGCAATTTACATAATCCTCTGAATCTTATCTCATAACAACCCTGTGAGGTAGGTTGAGCTGATAGTCTGTGACTGGCCTAATCTCACCCAGTGAGCTCCATGCCTGAATGGGAACTAAAACCCAGATTGCCTGAGTCCTTAACCACTACACCATGCAATAATTCATTGTTTATATTAGTACCATACTTATTGCTACTGTTGAAAAGAATTACAGTACAGTCCTATACATGGCTACTCAGAAATGAGTCCATTAAGTTTGGTGGGGCTTACAGCCAAAGAAGGGGATGTAGAATTGTGCTGTAAATTGAACTAGATAGTATGCAGTGCTAGACATTTAAGGAAGCCCCAAGAATAGAATAGTAGACTAAGGATATGTTGTATCAAGCAACAAGAAGAAATGTGTATATAAAAATGTGAAATCTGAGATACATATAAACAGAGAAGACATTCTGAAAGTTATTTGAACACAAAAAGTCAAAGCAACTGCATTACAGATTTGAACTATGATCTTGATTTAGCTTCACATCCCCTGTCATTAACCTCTTTATTCTCCCCATTTCTGTTTATCCTTTTTTAAAATTGGGACTAAAAGTCAGGCTAAGTAAGAAATGGGGTTTGAGGGCATATAACTTATGGTTAGTTGCATTTCTGTTCTGAATATTAATGAGAATTGCCAATAGGAAAAAGGACAATACTCCTTTCACTAAAAAAAAAGGAAAAAGGTGTTGTTCTCCCAGAAGATCTGCCTCCTCTTTCTTTCAAATAATATATTAGAGCACTATCAGGAATTCATAGGCTAATCTTAAAGAGATATCCAGAATAAAAGGTAAATTGTCTGCCTCATTATGAAACTGCCCTGCTCAAGTAACTAGAACTTTTATTATCAAAATATCCCAAGATAACTTTGGGACCTTCAGATAGTAAAAGATGGAGCTATTTTCAGATTATTATATAGTTATACAAAGAACTAGCAATTGGTGTTTTAGTTGTTGCAGGATACAAATACCATTCACCAAGCTACAGAAGAAATTGCATTTTCTCCTAGAAATGATAACTGGAAATGCAGTAAAAAAAATTTCCTTTCTCACAACAGCACATTATTATAGTTCAGCCTCTTAAGTTACTTGGGTTGCATAAGTGTCACTGATATCACTTGGCTGGTGTCCATAACATCATGATGGTGCAATGCTTAGAATTCTACAATTGCTTTCTACATAATGTTTGGTTTACTTTCCTGGTGTGTTATCAAAGCTGAGTGTTCTGCTGAGTACCACTTCACTGGAAGTACTCAACCAGGCTCTACATTAGATACACAGAACCTCAGGCCAGGGTGCCAAATCCGGACCATCCAGGCATTCCCAAGCCAGCCCAATGGGGTTCTCCAGAGAGCCTTCCCCCCTCTCTCCTGGTCCCATGCTATTTCCAGGGTCACCCATCATTTGGCAAATTCCTGGCTTTCATACAGGGTTTTCCATGCTTTACAAGGTTGCAATGCCTCTCTGGAAACTTCATGATTGGCAATAAAACCCTTACATTACATATTCTGGAATTTTTGGTATTTTGGCCCTGGCCCTTTTGTGTCCAACACAACTCCCCTTGGAATGTTGCTGTCAAGACCAGAAAAAGCAGGCATGCTAGAGGTGTACAATAAAAAAAATGACAGATTATTCAGATGTACAGAATGCATGCATGTAAGTAGTCTGCAAGAAACTACAAAGAATTTAACTACAAGATTATTTTATAAGGTTTCAGTCATATAGACAATTGTGGGAGTCACATAACAAGGAAAACTCTTATTAAATAGAAAAGACAAAGACAAGACAAGAAAAGAAAGAAAAGAGAAAAGGAAAGTAAAAGATTCTGAATAGACAGATATCTGCATATGGAAGTCTTAACAATATTGCTGCCCACCTAACAAGGTGTCAGTCAGAGACCTCCTCTGGCAATATTGTTGCCATTTTAATAAGATGTCAGTCAGGGAGACAAACTGGCAACAATGTTGCTTCCATAACAAGATTGGGATGCTGATCTTGTCAGCTGGAGGCTGTTCTTAATAGTTTCAGGCTTTCCCCAGCAATCATGGGGGTTTTTTGTTTCAGTTAGTCCCAAATGCAGCCCAGCCTGTAAGAGCTTTTCCACAATGCCCCTGGG